GACCTTGTTTGCCTGCAGCCTGCCCTTGACCTCGGATTGTTTGGCCATTCTTGTTTGCCTATGCCCTTGACTTCGGATTGCTTCACTGGACTGCCTACGCCTTCTCCTTTTGTACCTGCTCTGCCTGCTCGGTGTGACCTCGGCCTGTCGACCTCAGATATCGGGATTTTCACAACCCTGCTGCAGAACCAGATATTGGCTTGCACGGTGATACCACCTCTGGCACTCCTGCCACTCATTGTCTATAAGGACTCTGTCCCCAATACCAGAGTCCCTAGGACACGAGGTGCAAGGGAAGCTTCCGCCCACATCCAGTCTCCACACAGGTACGTGACAGAAAGCCAGTGGAGGGATTGACAAAGGGGGGATGCAGACACTGAGCGGTTGGTCAGGTGAATGAGTCTGGCAGCTGCATTCATGATAGACTGAAGGGGGGGATAGCCTGTGTAGTGGAAGGCCAATGAGGAGAGAGTTGCAATAGTCAAGACGAGAGATAACAAGGGAGTGGATGAGTAGTTTTGTGGTTTCATTGGTGCGTAAGGGGCGTATTTTGGAGATGTTATGAAGGTGAAGGCGGCAGGATTTGGATAGTGATTGGATGTGGGGAAGAAAGGTGAGGTCAGAGTCAAGGATGACACCCAGGACCTTGGCATGAGGGGAGGGCTGGATAGTCGTGTTATCAATCTCAACGTAAGTGTTGGGGAAGGTTCACGGGCGGGAGGAAATATCAAGAGCTCAGTTTTTGAAAGGTTGAGTTTTAAGAAATGTTGGGACATCCAGACGAATATGTCAGTAGATTAGTGACACGCAAGGACACTGAGGGGGTGAGTTGTGGAGTGGAAAGATAAATTTGAGTGTCATCGACATAGAGATGGTATTGGAAGCCATGTGAGCTTATTAATTGACCAAGGGAAGAGGTGTAGATGGAGAAGAGAAGGGGTCCAAGGACAGAGCCTTGGGGGACCCCTACAGAAAGAGGAAGAGGAGTTAGAGTTGTAGGTGACACTAAAGGAGCGCATAGCTAGGTAGGAGGAGAACCATGAGAGAGCAGAGTCTTGTAGCCAAGCGAGTGGAGTTTTTTGAGGAGCAGTGGGTGGTTAACAGTGTCAAAAGCTGCAGAAAGGTCTAATAGCAAGAGTAAGGAATAGTGGTCATTGTTTTTAGGAGTTATTACGTCATTGGTGAGTTTTAGGAGGGCAGTTTCAGTGGAGTGTATGGGGCGAAAGACTGAAAGGGGTCCAAAAGGTTGTTATTAGTGAGGTGGCAACTCAGGTGGTTGTAGATAAGGCGTTCCAGTAGTTTAGAGGTGAATAGGAGTAAGGAGATAGGCCTGACAGTATTGAGGTTGGTAGGGTCCAGTGAGGGTTTTTTGGGTATTGGGGTGACTAGTGCATGTTTCAGAGATTTTTCTGTACTGTTCCCCAAGTTACTGTTCTGTACTGTACAGTGCTCTACTGTTCTGTTCTGTGGCTTGTGGTTTATACTTATATTTTATAGGAAAATCAGAAAAATGTTGGAAAAAGCATTTCTAATAATGTGAAACATTACAGAAAAAAACTATTAATAGAACCTTTGGAATCTGAGTAGTAGCAACTAGTTTTTACTCTGACCTAATCAGACTGTCTTAACATTGTATTGTTCTGTGTATGTGCACTGAGCCATGAACATTCATAGCATTAGTTGTCAATTAATTTGGAACTCAACATACTGTTAAAAAGATTCCCCTAACCTAGGCACATCAAAAAGCATATGGCTTTTAACTTCTAAAAAAGGTTATTCAACAGGTTTTTCCCCAAGAGTAGATGAACTGTTATAGTGTCAAGAAACTGCAAATATAAAGCACTTTAAATTCTAGCCAAGGGTGCACAGTAGGTCTTATAGCTATGCTCATCTTGTTTGATTTATTTACTTTAGATTTCTTTTTTTTAATGTCTCTTTTTATTAAAATATGAAACAATAAATCATTGTTTAAACAAGAGTCTCCAATATTGGGTTATTTTAACAAATTATTTTGGAAATTAGAACTAGTTAAAATTCATCGAGGATTTTATAGCAAATATCAGAAAACAAATCCAGATACAAAATAACCTTTAATGTATGTTGTCCTACCTCATGTAATGTATTGTTATATATGATCATTTTCCCTAATACTCACTATTATGTTGCAGATTTTCTTCTCAACAATACAATTATTCCAATAAACCCTAACACTTGCTGATGGCAGTTGTATCTAGATGACCTCTTATTTATCTCATTAAACATTAAGGGGTCTATTCACTAAGCTGCCGTAGACAGCCAAGTGAATAACCGACCCGAAGTGCAGTGAGTGAATAGCCGAATGCCGCCGAGCGGCATTCTGCCTGGTACCTCTGTGGTACCGAGCAGAATAGAAAAACTGTTAAAAAAGTATACAAAATAAAATAGAAAACGAGTGTGCGGACCTAGCAGTGACAGCTAGCTGCGCCCAACTGTATTCTATTGGCTGGGCGGTTCTGCTGCCGTCAGAATATTTTTTGTTTTAAAAAACAACCTCCATAGGAATGCATAGCTAGATTCCTATTGGCTATTTCACTTTGCAATAGCCAATAGCAAACTAGCCATTGCACCCGCCCTCTGCTGCTGTTAATCACCAGACGGGGACCTGATGGAGAACTGCAGGTCCCCCTCTGCTTATTGACAGCAGCAGTGGGCGGGTGCAATAGCTGGTTTGCTATTGGCTATTGCAAAATGAAATAGCCAATAGGAATCTAGCTATGCATTCCTATGCTGGCTTTTTTTTCTGACTGAGGGCGGCCAGCAGCCCCATGTCAGAAAAAAAAACAGATCACAAGGAAAGGTTTACTCTGCTCGATCAAGCAGAGTTAACCTTTCCGGGAGAAAGTGTTTCTCTCCTGGGCGGCCGGGAGCCGTATTAGACTTCCAGAGCATCCGGGAAAGTAATGCCAGATCGGCGTACCTGGTTATCAGGTAACCAGGGACGCCATCTGTCATCACACACTGAGAACCCGGAGAGGCCGTTGTGATATCATAGCGGCCACACCGGGTTCTCAGTGTGTAATGACAAATGGCGTCCCTGGTTACCTGGTAACCAGGGACGCTGATCTCTCTGCAAGTGGCCGGAGCCAGCCGTGAGATGATGGCTGGCTCCGCCCAGCAGTCAGTAGCAGGCTGTTGGCCAGCCAATGATCAGCCGTTCGTTCAGCTTCGGCTTTCACCTCGGCTCAGTCAAGCCGAAGCATATGCCTTCGGCTCGACTGAGCTGCTCGGCCAACTTCGGGAGCTGTACGGGCTGTAGTGAATAGACCGTACAGCAGCCCTTCAGTTCTACTGAACCAAAGGGGTCCTGGGGCCGAAGCTAGCCGAAGGATCAGCCGAAGCTATGGCTAAATCCTTCGGCAGCTTAGTGAATAGACCCCTAAGAAACCATATTGTTTCAAATTGGAAAATACAAAAGAAAACATTTCAAAAGTATTTGAAACAGGTAGTTGGGTAAATACAAAATAATGTAAATGAATGTCTACTTGCAGCCGGGGATGGAGTGCCATGTGGTGAACAGACCTTAAAAAGCAGGAGCTCAAATCAAACACACAGCTGAATGAGGGAAAACATAATTCCTCCTTCTCTGTTCTGCACATATGAACTAGTCTAGATTTTTTATTAGACTGAGACAGTTGTATTCTTGTTTGTAAATACATAAAATAATTATAAACATAAAAAATGAAATAACATTTGCTAAAAATTACTGTAGTTTCCCTCTAAAGAAAAAACTGCTTAACATCCTTTATATATTATATAATAATGAAAGCCATGCTTTTTGTAAATCTTATTTGAAGATCGGTTTCCCTGATACTAAACTTAAACAGGGCTACTCACAAAAGGGTGAAGAGTTTGGAGAAGGCAGGAGAAGTAAGCAATCCAGGACAACATAGCTGAACTGTAAAGTGAGCTGAATTGGAGAATGTTTCCAAATCAGCGATGTTGTCCTAGATTGTTCACTTCTCCAAACTTTTCACCCTTTTGTGAATAGCTCTAAAAGTGTATGCATAGCCTTTGTTTAAAAACATTTTGGGATAGAGTACAGAAAATTTGGAACCCTTGTCAGCTTTTTTTGCTGCTTGTCTCTCCCCTAGGGACATCACCCCTCTTATTGTCCTGTCCCTATTTTTACCAAAATAGAAACTGATCATGAATCCGAAATTCAACACCAGAAAAAAGAGGTTAGGGAAACCTTGCAATGAGGACATCTTTACTGGTGACAACTGTCTACGATCGGAATTCCCCTCACTTTGTAGATATTTCCCCTGCTATATATCCTTCACCTTTGGATGGGGACAAGAGCTAGGGGTATAAATAGAAGACCTATCAAAATACAAGTCTTACTGAGAGACATCTGGATTCCCAAAAAGGTGGCATGAGATACAACCGGGAAAGAAAATCTATGTGGCAATAAGCAGCAGGCTTATATTTTGAATGTAGCCCTATTTTACTGGTGCACCAAACTTGAAGACTGGCTAAGAAATATGCATTTGGACTAGGCATGAAATTGCCTCACCTGGGTCAGAATTAAAAACTAATGGATCACCTCACTCTTTGCATAATATAAGACATCTGTTTTGCTGAATGTGTATTTTGAAATATTTTTATTACTAGTACAACTTTGAAATCAGATTTTTTTTTATTTGCCCACCAACAAAATAAGGAATATAGTGAGAAATAAGGAAGACAAACCTGCATACATTGTACCAAAGTGCAAAGAATGAACACTTTTAATTTTTTTTACTTGTCATATAATAAAAACTCTCCAAGTTTATAGTCACAAGTATGAAATATCGTGAAACATCCCATTGATTTATAATAGAAACAGCAATGATTTAAAAAGCACATTTCTTTTTCAAGCTTTAGAGGGAGATAAAAAAGAATGTTTAAAATTTAATAGATGCCATTACTTACAGAAAATCCTTACATTATATTTGTGCACTTTTCTTTCCATATCATTGCAGGCTTTTGATCAGAAAAGAGGACTGCAGAACTTTGTGGAACAATGCAGTGAGCAAATTGATGAAATTGTAAATCTAGTCCGAGGAAGGTTAACAAAAATGGAACAAATAACACTGGGTGCCCTGATTACCATCGATGTCCATGGTATGTTCAGTATGATGACAAATGTATGGCTGTTGAATCTGAATACACAAGTCATTACAGTAATACTATTACCCCCATGTGAACTTCAATACAAATTACTTCCTTGAGAAATGGAAATCCCACATCAGCGTGTGACTCCCCTAATACTATAGAGCAGGGGTCTCAACGTACCGGCCCGCGGGCCAACTCCGGCCCGCGAGCCGATACTATGTGGCCTGCAGCCAGCTGCCAAGTCAGGCGCACGGTCACGGACCGCGTGCCTGACTTGCGGGAGCAGCTACACGCAGAGCTGCTCCTGTCAGCTCCGGCCGGAGCTCTGACAGTTCTGAGCTCCCGCCGAACGATGGTTAGTAAGGTCTGCACTAGACCTTACTAATCACCATTAGATCACCAAGGAATTATGATGTGCCTCCTCCCTGCAAACATGCAAGCAGGTGATGGGGCTTGGAAGGAAAGGAGGGAGGGGGGGAGCTTTATTAATATGTGTGCTGGGGGCTTGGGAGGGAGGGGGGAAGATTATTATTTGTGCTGGGGGAAGTGTATTATATGTGTGCAGGGGGCTTGGAAGGGGGGCGAAGTGCATTATGTGTGCGGGGGGAGTGTATTATGTGTAAAATGTGTAAAGGAACCCCTTTA